TTTAATTATTTAGCTTTTAGTTATGTGTTTTTAATTATATATAAAAATGATAAACTTTTATTATGAAGTTATACTTCTTTTAGCGCGTTTGGAAAAAATAAGAGTAAATTTTTTACGCTACACACACTGACCCTCAAAACACATAATTTATGTGAGACGGTGGTAAGCGGGCTGGTGGTTTACTTGATATTAAGTAAAGACCCCCGTTCATGGACATTTGCAACACCCTTAAGGTTGTAGATGCTTAGCCTTTTAATATAGTGGGCCCCGGCTTCCTCGCTAACCAGACGAAACGCTGAAGTACAACACTTTCACGTCGGTCTTCCTGAACGGTCAGATAAATGGCGGATCGCTATAAACGTCGTGAAGACATCCGCATTTTCCAAATCTTGGCAGACACAGTCCTCCGAGGGCAAAACATACAATGGCAGTCCACCGTAACTTATCTCGAGTGCGCTATAGACCGTGCGCTAAGCCTACTCCCCCAGGTGGACAGTATAGTCCGCCAAACTAGAGCTGCTCGCGCGGTACTACTCGTAAACCCCGTCTTGGCATTCCATCTGCCGACCCGCAGATAAGCTTGCGGAGTATAAGAATTATATTCGCTCTCGGCTCACTTACGCGGCGCCTGCATGGTACGCCCTTACCTCTAACCATCAACGGAAACGACTGCAAGCCCAGCAGAATCTGTCCTTGCGTACTATCGTGGGGGCGGGACACTACGTCAAGAATGACGTTATTGCGAGGGACCTGAGAATCGAATCCCTCGAATCCTTCATCGTACGTCTCGCACGTCGCATGTTCGACCGCGCATACAATGTCACATTCATCTTCGTCACGGATTGACCCCACTATATGCGCGTCCACCTGAATGTCGCGCGCTCCCACGAGAAATATCTTTTATTTTTTGTTAATTTTAGTTTTTATTTCTCTTTTATTGTGTGCGTCCTTTTTCTTGGTTAATTAATGTATTTTCTTTCTTTCTTCTAGATATTGCAGCTAACCGTCTCGCTCCCACACAGGGGGGTGAGAATGGAACGGCGGGACCGATGTCACATATATAACACCTACCGTATCGACGTTGCTACGACAACGGCTGGAGCGAGCATAGCGTAGTATCCGAGCTGAATTTAGGCAACAAATTTCCCGGGGGGACGGTGCGCCCCTTGAGACAATGCCGGGGTCATGAGGTTCGATTCCTCGACGCTCGTTCCTGCACCGGTCCAACTTCCAGGGCAGTGTAGATGACCCCTGGTGATGGTGGTGCCGGTCCCATGTGAGGGCTTGGTGGCTAGTGAGGGCATAGACACGGACGGACTTGCACATTCGTGCCACAATCAAGACTGTTGCTATTGTCCAACCAAGTGTAAAAACAGCTGCAGCTACTTGTACAAAACATTCTTAATGAAAATGAAGCCGCAAAATAGAAAATATTATTCAATATTTTAAAATATCATCTGGTTATTTCATATACTCTACTGCGAAATCATCTCTTTCTCAACTGGAAACTAGGATTGTGAGTAAACCTTGAAGTAAGCCCGTTTACTGAAAAGTAAATATAGTTCAGCAAATAATTAGTTAAAACGATATCCTCCTTTTATGCGCCAACCATGTTCATGAACTTGATATAGATACATTTTAAAGAAGTATAAATCTGTATAAACAAACGTGTATTTTTCGACATAATAACAAGCGATGTTTCTCACGATGTTTTCGTTCACCACTCAGCAGCACTTAAAATTAACAATTTCATTGGTACTGCCTCCGGGATTTGAACTCAGATTGTTCGAGAATGTTTTTTTAATAAAAGCGTCCATCCGTCCATCAAAAAAGTCCATCTGGACTGCCAGCGGTGAATATACAATATCTATTGTATGTTACAAAGTACATAATAAATAAATAAAAGTAATAGTGTAATAAATGCATTATTTAAACAATGTGATAAATATAGAAGAAAAATAACACAGATAATTTAAGTTTTAAAAATCATCTTGTATAACAAATATCACCATTTCTCAGGGAGTAAACGTAATTAGTATCTTTCCATAACAGCTCATGCTGAAGCTTAATAAGTTTTTCCAAGCCTACAGGATTTACGTTATTATCCTTATGTGTACACTAATTAACAATGATGTGTTTAGTTTAGTGAATAACCTTTTTGCGAAATAAGTATAATATTTTTTTATTAAATACAAATATAAATCACACATTAAATATAAATACTAGTTTACATTTAATTTTTCATGTTTATAACATGCCTAGAATTATTATAACACTTTTATGAGCCGTAAATATGACAATAATTTACGTTTATGACATTCAACTTGTTTCTACCTTTTAATTCTATTTACTAAATTCTATAAGTCCAAGTCATGTCAGAAAGATTGTTGGTAAATCATCATATGGGAAATAGTAATAATTGTTGTTAGTTGTTAACTTAATTGCTGTGGACAGAAATGTCGAACTTGTGATATTAGAAAAAGGATTCCATCTTAACATTGTGGTTTAATAATTTTATTAGTAGTTTAGAATGCGATTTCTTTTTCTTTTTCAGATTTTTAAATACTGATAAATACTTTATAAAAAAAAAGGTTATAGGTTAAATTAAGCTGAACTTATAAATAAGGCAGAATGTAACTATAAATTTTATTATTCTCTACATATCCTAATTGAAAAAAATTGCGACCCAATATACGACAACAGGGTTAATATCTGTCACATATGTCACCAGGCAACCTATGCAGTGCGTTGAATGTATATTTGTGTAACAGATGGAGAAACTATATTTTTTAAGAGAGCTTTATAGATTTAAAATGCCAAACCATAACAATAAAGTTCAAACCTAAGAAAGTGACATGCATAGTGCAGTCTCCACACAATACTACAGTTTTCCAGAATATTCAAAACAAAAGAGCTGTACAGTAGTCTTTGTATTTATATCTGCGGAGCCACCTTCCAATCCTAATAAAAATAATAAATTCGAACATATTAGAAGCTATTTTTATGACTCTTTATATGAGCACTAAAATTTAGCCTAAGGTCAGCTTTGTCAATCATAATATCAGGATCTTATATGTTGTCATTTTCTTACCATTTATCATATCCTTAAAAAATTTACGATTTTAAAGGTACGTATGATTCAACCAGTTTAGAAAAGTTCCATTAATATCAAAATTTGGCAACTTTCCTATTGATATTTGACGAGGCATCCTATCGAAAGCTTTACTAAGATCTATATTATTGCATCTATTTGTTGGCGTAGATCAATAGCCTCCGTAAGATTTTTAACGAAAGAAACTTAGTTTTTGTTCTTAACTGACATTTCTCGAAACCATGTTTATGGTTGTTAGCTACTCGACGTGCTCTAAAATGTATGGGCTAATCAAAATTTCGAAACTTTTAATATCGTTCAATCATTGAAAATTGGACTATAAATCGAATTTATCACAAATTAATTTTCACCTCAACTTTTTTAATAAATATATAGTTACGAACTAGGGGTTTGTAAATAATATTATGTATATTTCATAACCTAAAGAGAAAATGTATATAAAGTAGAGAGGCACAGCAAGATTACAGACGCAATTCCTTAAAATCTGGGAGGAATATCGTCAGATCCGAAGCCTTAATCCATTTCCGAGGACTTCAGATTAAAACAGAGGCCACTGATTGGCAAGCTAAAACTAGCATGATATTGGGGATAAAATTAACCATGTTAAAATTAATTTCTATGACATAATGGGTGAGATTAAATCCGCGAGACTGCGCTGAATTGGGCACCTGCAACGAATGCCGGCAGACAGTGCGGTGAAGAAAGCGTACGATGGACGACCTGGAGGCCGACGGCCGATTGGGCAGCTCAGATACCGCTGGAAGGATGGATGTGTAGAAGGACCTTCGTGCCCTGAACGTAGACAACTGGACGAGATCGCAGGAGATAGGGGTCGTTGGTGCCGACTAGTATCGGAGGCCAGGACCCAATTCGGGTTGCTGAGCCAACGTTAGATAGATTTTTTTTTATGACATTTCCACGCAATAGCCTTGACAGTTGCACGAATGGGATATTCCGTCCGGGGAAGTACCACTACCACAGAAGACCGGCATTAAGTAGAAGTGTCACTCTGCGCTTCGTCTGGTGAGCGACGCGTTTATAACCCTACAGGAGTTGCTAATCTCCATGGGCGGTGGGTATTACTTACCATCAGATGAATCGCTAGCTCACATGTCGTCTTCTGGTATTAAAAAAAATCACTTTTTAGTACCTGATATCGAACCTCCTTAGGAATAAACCACCTCTTCCGGAACAATCCAGCTTGGTAATTAAACCGATGCCCCGGTGCTGAAGCCAATAGTTTAGCAGCTGCGCCATGCAATAAAATTATCACACAGTGCTCTTTAAAATAACATATCAGAATGTTTACGTCTCTAATATTATATGCGCTCAGACCATAACATCGTCCGCTTTGAAGAAATAACCTGTTTATATGATCCGTCCGCCAGACTTCTTTGATTATGGTAATATAACTCACATTCAGCGTCTTATAATTCAATAACGAACGTACCTGCAAATCTAGTAATTTGAGAAAATGACCATTATACATTTTTGTTAATGTTGGAGTATTACTTTCAGTTTGTATCACAAACAATATGTAAATATAAACACTCATAACCTTAGCTACAAATAATTATAGAAGGGATGAATAACAATATTAATGAACCAAAAAATATAAAAATAAAGATACCACTTGAACATCATAATTTATTTATAACATTAAAATTACAGTAAGTCGCTCATATAATTTTAGCGTTAATTTATTGTTTCCATAGATCTTTTTACAAATTTTACAATTCGCCAAATGTTTCAACATGACATTTTTTGCTACCACTTACCCTTGAAGCGATTCATAGCTTAGTCGAATAAACAACTATATGCATTTATAAGAATAAATTCAAATTCTTTACTAGATGCAACATTTATCGAACACAAACTTTATATGTTAGGGTAAGATTGAAGATATCCAAGGCAGTTTTCCGGTCGTTTTAAACACGTGCCAATCGTATAGAAATCGCCCAATAATCAATAATATGAGAACTAAAAGAATTATATTTATTATGTTGACATAGCTTATTGGCATTTCAGTTTGTTCTCTACTGCACACATTTCCTAGTGATATCGTGCTGATCTAAAACACAGGAATATAATAAAGTAAATTTTACTATGCCCAACTATAAGAATAAAAAAATAATGCTGAAATAGGATTACCTGGGCATATGAAATAGATTTATCGTCAGATTTTTGACATCTTATATCCAGTTGATCACGTATCACCCTTTTATATTTGTGTAGCAAAGCTTGAAACCTGGGAATAAAGTGGCAGTCACATCGAAATGGGTTATGACCTAATAGCACGTGCATTATGTTATTATTTACTTGGATTGCTTTATCGAACACGTAAACTGGGATCTGTAAACAATAAATGAAAAATCTATTTATTTCAAATAATTCCATAACGCTACCTCGACAGATACTAAATATGACGTGGGATATCTTAGTTTATTACACCTACAAAATGTAGGAAAATTATTTAAATAATGTTTTTCTTCTGCTAGAAATAAATTAAACTAAGTTCGCCCATTGTAGCCCTTAGCTTAAGGTGTAACAATGAAGCTTAAATAAATAAATAAACTTGCCTGTTTCAACATGTTTCCACGCAAACTTAAGACACGAAAGGTACCGAACCATTCTGAACCTTCTAGTTCTTTAACGGCTGAGATGCTGTTATTGTCCAAATAAAGATCTGCTAGTTTCTGATATTGGGGATTTTGCATTATCATTCGTATTGTGGTTATCTAAAATATAAAAGGTATCTTTTTTATTAATAAGCAGATAAGGTCTGGTGAAAGAGGAAACATAAGATCGTGGTTTCCTCCATAGACCAATATACTGTTTGGTTTCCTCTTTCACCAGACTCCACGCAAAAGTACAATTCTAATTCTACTTCTAATTCACCCTGGTCTTCTGTGAGTACCGCGATACTTCCCCGAATGGGACTGCCAAAGCTGTACCGTGAATCACCATTTTTTTTAAATATGCATTATTTCAGTAAAATTACAAAATTAAAATACTATCATGGTCTTATAAAAGACAAAAAGAACATCACACATATTTTCCAAAAGCCTATTACGATAGTATCATCCCACGGCCCAACTCTAGAAGATAATGAGTGAACATCACGCCTCATTTCGGACAAATTCCCGCGGTGCAACCCGAAGCAAGCAGGACTACGTCCTGCACTTCCCTGTATCACCGGCCAAACACTTAAAAATTGACAGCATGCAGCCCCTTAACGTTAAAAAGTTCTCAAAAACTCGCACCACCCCAAGGCAAAATAAAAAATACCGTAAAACGGGGTGAATAGAATTTACGGGGTGAATAGAAATATTTTTAGGAAAATTTCTAAAACCTCGTGATTCAAAAAGTACTACAGAAATCTCAATTATTTGTATTTGTTTTTAAATGGCAACATATTTTCTTTTGTCTGACAACACTTGGAGAGGTTAAAGTTAGCAACATATTTGAAAAATTGACTTCAAACGACAACGGTTTTTTTGTGTGATTTTACGCTCTTTCTAACTTCTTTTATAAAAAAAGATAATAAGTGCTTTCGAACAAAAAATTAATTTGTCTAATGGTGAATTTCACCGTGTACAATCTCTAAAGGTAAGTTGTTCTGATTAGTATGATTATTAATATATTTTGTATAAAAACTCAACACACTTAAATATTCTTCAATTTAGAGGTGGATAGAGACGACTGAGGGGTAAAATAGAAACGGCCTATGGGGTTAATGGAAACGGGGAAAGGGGAGAATGGAAACGAGGAAGGTCTAAATAGAAACGCCAAGGGGGTTTTTAGAACTAGTTTGGTTAGGGTTGTCACTTACTTTGATTTCATGTCAGCAAGTGTATAGAACACAGTCGGGTTCTTATGTTAATTAGAAAAATCCCTACCTAAATATATAATTAAATTATTAAGATTTTTTCAATATTTCATTCTGCACTACGTCCCAAAAATAGCCGGAAAACTAAATTTCATAAGTGTAGAAATATATAAAATGTTTCAAGTATGTTTATTTATTTTTTTTTATTTCATATGCAGGTAAACTGACTGAAATATGCCACGTGAAATAGATCTGCTGTTTCACCGGAAATTATAAAAAATTATTTTGAAGAATTGGAAATATCACTGAATGGTGTATCGATGTGCAAACATCATTAATTACGACGAAAACCAACCCTTCTGATGACTGACCCTGACCGTAAAAAAAATAATCACAAAAAAAAAGGCGTAAAATATGCGGAACGAGTGATGAACCACTCCAAGTCTGCCTACTCTATCATGATCGCGTGCACAGCAGAGGGAGAACTATTGTATCCTTATGTTGTGTACAAGGCGCAGCATATATATGATACTTGGACTGCAAAAACTGTGTCATAAAGAAAAAAATACATTTCATATTTCTGCCAGCTAACACAACGCACATTACTCAGCCATTGGATGTAGCATTTTTTTAAACCGATGAAAACTGCTTGGCGAAATATATTGTGCTAGTGGAAAAAAAAACAGATGGTCGACAACAAGCAAGTATTCCGAAAGGAAGTTTTCCGCTCTTGCTTGTAATGCTGATGGACGCCCTAGAAAACAACGCATAAAGCAATATTTTGGGAGAATTCAAAAAAACTGTTGTGATTTGATTTATATATGTGTTTGTTTCGTAATAGTTTATTGATTTACTGTATAAATGATAACATTATGCTCAGTTTGTTTGTTGATGTTTTTGTTTGATGTTCTTTTAGCGTTTCAATAAAGTTTTTCTTACAACCATATTTCTCAATCATTTCTCATTCAATTTTATATATATGTAATTGAGTTTCTCAATTAGGTTTCTCCTCTACTATATTATTATTCTCTACTATATATATATATATATATATATATATATATATAATACTATATATTAAATAAAATGCCGTCATAGTATTATTAGAGTATAATATTTTGACAACCCTGTAATTTTTTTCTATTAACCCCATATGCCGTATCTATTAACCCCATATTCCGCGCAAATGGAAATTGGCCTGTTTTTGGAGTTTTTTTCACAAGGTTCAAATAATTTACCATTTTTAAACAAGTAAGGTTATAATTTATAGTAAGACTCCCAAGATCAAAGCAGATTTAATACCATAAACATTGTTTTTATATAGTTAATTTGCATTCGAAAGTCCATATTGTTTCTTTTAACCCCGTTTTACGGTACGCAATACGCAATGGTCAAGGATATGAGCGTAATCGATAATGATAATACAAATACAGGTAGAATCGAACCTCGTTCTCTGACTCTTTTGTATTTTAAAACAATGTGTATTAGAGTTCATAAAAATGAAACCGCGAATTAATTACCCGATTATTAGATAGATGTAATGGTACGAGGAATGGTACTCGTAGGAAGCTTTATAACTTCGACCGTCGAGTAATGAAAATGGAAAATGAAAGTATCGTATGACGGCTAATTAGAGAGAAGATTACATATCTAAATTCTGACAGAACGCATAGCAGGCTCTACTGGGAGATCTACTAGTAGTTAGCAAAAAATATAATATACAGGGTGTTACAGAAAGATGTTGTGACATTTAAAGCCGTGTGTGTATATATCAGACTTTGAATCAAATGGCATAATTTTAAAATACGAATCTAAGCATTTTTTGACGATAAAAATTTAACACACTACTTTTACTACGTTTATTTTTGTAAGCAAATATCCGCGTCATACCTACATAAAAACATTTTTTACATGGAATTAATAATAGATTTCATGAGACAATTTCCACTGTAACTTATAATTTTTTAGTATTGAGATTTTGAATTAAACATTAAATCGCTTGCAGTGGTAGGTAAAAACATTTTAGAAGGTTACAACTCACAAATCTTACAACGCCGATAAATTTATTCAACACAACATCAGTGAGATACATTATCATGTTATGGCGGATACATAATACATAATAATGACAAAAATAAATTTCGAATTAAATAAGTTCAATGTAATTTTAGAGTATAAAACAATAAAATCTGTATTTTAAATAAATAAACTATACCTAGACATTCCAATGAGATCAGCGTTTACTAAGAAAACTCGTGCTTATCGGTGTCGGTCGGTTCCATTACGCGATACTATTCTTTCACTGTTATAGCACTTCAGCACTTGGGATAGTCATTGTCACTAACTTAAAACACACCAAGGTCAAGGGTTGCTTCGTCATTTGCGAAGCTACAACGCGTATGGGCCGCGGACGCAGACGAGGGGCGATCCTTCCAGCTCCTTTTTTAACACAACTGGCAGCTGATCTAAATTTGTTTCAGCATTCTTGCTTGCTGTTTACTTGTTTCGGCTTTTGGCAAATGTTTCTGGTGCAGTTGGTGAGCCTCCCGTAGTACGCGCATACTTCCAGAACATCTTTGCAGAAATAATTCGTACGTACAAGCGACAATTGCGTCAAAAGCTGGTGTAGTTGAAAAGTTCAAAGTAAATCGATGTTCGTTCTAGCCGCAGCACTGAATAATATCATGTAGTATTTACTGAGCATATGACTATGTCTGAGACATCTTTTATCAATAATGAATCGATAACTATAAAATAAAAATCATGAAATCGACTTCATGCGTAAATGGCTGGAGAGTAACTGATTTGAAAATTAAGTAACACAAAGGAAGCGACATCATATTTTATGTATTTACCTACCTAAGCGGTAGCGGCTTATGTAGTTAAATAAGCAACGTTTGTGCAAGACTATTTCGCCGCGCCGACAATAAGGTTACCATGTCTACTGAGTAAAATTTTAGGACGGCGGTATAATTGGCAATAAAGTAATAAACAACTTTTTTTCGGTTTTCTGTTAATAGTATTCTACCACTCTAGTTGAAACGAGCGCGGTAAATACAAAGGTGGTCTTTGTTAACTGTTATACGCGCCGACAATCTACATAGATTGATGAAAGTGACAAGGTCATTCAAAACACGTGTAATTAGTTCGCTGTATCACAACTAATAAGTTTTGGAAGTATGAAATTCTCTTTTTTTACTTTTATTTCTGAAGGATTTGTATACACTAATTGAGAATTAATACATGAAATTTTATACTGAAACTAATAAATAAATTTTCTAAATATTCAATTTTAATAACACCATAGACTATTTTATACTTATTGAACGAAATCATTATCTTTTCATTAATCTATTCATATTATTATACTTTTACTAGCAACACGCCCCGACTTCGCACCGGTGCAATGTATTATATACATAATTATACACATAATTATAAACCTTCCTCTTGAATCATTCTAGCTAGTAAAAAAACGCATCGAGATCCATTGCGTAGTTTTAAAGATCTAAGCATACATAGCGACAGACAGACAGCGCGACGACTTTGTTTTATACTAGGTAGTGATTGAACGAATTCATTATCTTTTCATGAATCTATTCATACTATTATACTTTTACTATTATACTTTACGACCCGTCCCAGTTTCGCACGGTTGCAATGTATTATTCATAATTATAAACCTTCCTCTTGAATCACTCTATGTTTTAAAAAAAATCGCATTGAGATCCCTTGTGTAGTTTTAAAGCTCTAAGCATACATAGGGACAGACGAACAGCGGGACGACCTTGTTTTATACTAAGTAGTGATTACTGTATTTCGAATTTCATTTCGTATGATATTTCGAAGATTAATGAATCGAGCATTTTAAAACTCAAAATACTTTATAGAAAGAAAATCCCAATACAT